ACGGACACGCCCAGGCCCACAATGCGCAAGTTTAACTCCAGTTGCTTTGCCATAAGTTGCATGCGTGTGACGATGGCCTCGTAGATGTAGCCCCCCTGCCCTCCAAGCATGTGAAGATCGTCCGCAATAAAGAGCTCTACCGCTTGAACGTTTCTTCTTGTTCGCCACTTTCGAGATAGCACATCCCATTGCGTTGGAGTGGCTAAGATCAGGTCGTTTTCCCCGAGCAGCTTCAAGTCTATATTCATATCTTCGGTGAGTTTCACAATGTTCTTGCCACCAGCTACTCGAGCCAGTCGTTTTTGCCAATCTTTAAGTCGAATATCAACGAGTTCTTGGAATGGTGCGATGTAGACAATTTTCTTGGCGTCACTGCTAGACCATGCATGAAGAATGGCAAATTCGGCGCACACCGTCTTGCCCATGCCCGTAGCAGCGCCAACGAAGACGTTGTCATTGGTCGTGAACAAGGAATTGAAGACCTGCGTTTGTACCTTGTTAAATTGATCAAAGTCCTCATATAGTGCCCGGAAATCGGGTCGCTTCAGAGAAGAGACAGGAAGAGGTTGGAGGTCCAGTACCGGAGTATACGCCGGGAATTTGCTTGGCAGAACGATCTTTCGGAAGGACAGAGGTATCCTGGCCTCAGAGTGCATCCACCTGTCCGAAATTAGAGAAAGGAAGTAGTTGGGCGGCATTGGCTCAGAGATCGGGACTGTGAACTCGACAAGATGTTCATTCATCTCGCTTTGTGCGTAGTGCTTCCGGAGAAGGAACTGGTCATGGTAGAGGATCTCCTCGCCATCGGTGTCTTCAACCATAATCCAAAACATCTCTGCAGCGCCGTGGATCGAATCGTCCCATTCAAAGCTAGGCGTGATCGTGAGCTCGACACGAAGAGTTGTTCGTGTCATTGGGAGTACTTGAGCTTCGATGGAGAGTCTTGGGAATTTCTCGACCAATGCACACACAGTTTTGCCTTGTTTTGGCATGCCTAGCAGTTCGCCCATGCGAGGAGGATCGAGGTCAAAATAGCTCGACCATGCCACATCGATACGCTCGCACTTTTGCACGATGTCTCGAGGGCAACTTGGGAATTGGCGAAGTGGTGACATTGTTGGCCACATCCTCTTCTCTGCCATCTTACACAAGTCGAGGGCAAGTTTGGCAACAGAAGCCCAGCCCTTCTTCAGCGCAATCTCAAAAATCGCGCGTAAGATTCTGCCGGCGGATTGAGTTACGTATACCAGGTCTGCCATCAAAGCCAAGCCGTCGAGTTTGAGGCGAGAAATGTATGCCTGGAGCAGGACGTTGATCTTTGCGTGAGGTTCTTCGATGCTCTCCTTAACCGGTACAGGTACGCGTCCTAGAAGCTTTGCGAGCTCCAACTTCTCGTCTTGTCGGACTGGGATATATTTGAACTCTTCGCTCAATGAGAAGACGCGGAAGAGTTCAATGGTGGTGATCGAAGGCGAAATGTGCAAATTGTATGTCAGCATCGAGTTGTGGGAGATGTAGTAGTGGGAGGCGATTCTGCCAAGCTCAGTGGATTGCAGCCGTCCTGTTCGTTTGTCGTATTTGATCAGATTGCACTTTTCCAAGACAGAAGCAGCCGAGTGAATGAGGTCTACACGTTTCTGCTCCAAAGCATCGTCATCTTCATAATCAGCACCGACGCTATAAAGTCCGGGTGAACGAAGCATGCGAACAAAGAGGTAGGTATAGCCGAGCCATTCGACACCTTCGTCTCGGTTGCGTATGCTACCAAGCACAATTTCGGCATTGAGGTTGTCGGCGAGTTTGCTCATGAACTGACTCTCGATCGGGAGCTGCTGATTTAGTAGAGAGAGATAATACTGCATCTCAGTCTGTGTTGTGATGATGATACCCTCTCCGAAGGTGTCATACTGTGGTCGACCTGCTCGGCCAAGCATCTGCAACACGTCTTGTGGGCTTAGCTCTACCCAGCTACCTTTTTCGGGAGAGTAGATCTGCGTCCCCTTGATGATCACGGTATGCGCGGGAAGGTTTACACCCCAAGCAAGGGTAGCTGTACAGACAAGCACCTGGAGCTGCCCATCGGCAAACAAGTCTTCGACCGAAGTTCGATCAGCACGACTCATTCCAGCGTGATGGATGCCAAAGCCGTACGGCATGAGATCTTTGAGATCAGTGTTTGTCACTGTTTCCGCTTCTTGTCGAAGAATCTCCCGACTTGCTGCATCACTGCGCAGAATCTGGCCGATAGTCTCCAATTCAAGCGCCTTGTCTCGAATGTACTTTGCAGTCTTTGCAGTCTCTTTTCTTGAGTGGACGAAGATGAGCATCTGATTACGGTTTTGTCCAACCTGTTCAAGCACTTTCGTGTAGCACACGTCGTTCATCGTCTTGAGCTGCTTGATCGCCTTTTTATCCGTTACGCCGATGAATTCTTGCTTCAACGGGCACGGCCTGAAGGAACCATCAAAATGGAATAAGCCTTTGATTGGATCAACACGGAGGAAGCTCGCCACGTCGCGGTAGTTTGGTAGCGTAGCACTCAGTCCGATCAGACGAACTGGATCTCCCGTCTGCTCCATTCGTCGAATTGTCCTGCTCACAATACTCTCGAGTACTGGTCCACGGTCGTCGTGAAGAAGATGGATTTCATCGATACAAATAAGCCGCACGAGGTTGGTATAGCTTGTGTCCGTGGCTTTCCGTGTGATAACATCCCATTTCTCGGGTGTTGTGACGATGATCTGAGTATCCGCGATTTGCTGCTTTGTGAGTTGCCGGTCTCCAGTGAGTTCTGACACGGTAATTCCGTATGGTTTCAATCTCTTGCCAAAATTGCCCACCTGCTCTTGTACCAAAGCCTTGAGAGGAGCGATATAAATGATTTTAAAGTCATCCAAGGCGATTTCGCCAGTCTCGGGATTTCGGTGTTTTCCGATTTCGCGGAGCATGGTAAGCATTGCGACGTTGGTCTTACCAGAGCCAGTGGGCGCACAGATAAGCATGTTGCCATCGTCTCCAAAAGCAGAAGGATAGCATCGAGTCTGAATACGGTTCAGCTTTGCAGATGAGCCAAACCCGATGCGAGCCCATTCCGGCAAAGCACTAGTAGGCATGTCTGGTTGTTCGTTTGGTCCACGCTTCGACTTTGGAGCAGGTACATGAATCTCTTCGTACCCTTTGAACGTTCGCTTAATTGATCCTTGAGGGAGTTTCACGTTGGGATTCGTCATGAGGTGATTGCCCTGATCGAATACCAGATTCTCCAAATTGATCAATCGCTTTGGTTGCAAACCACCCACAAGGCCACCGTCTCTTGCACCGTCCGCAGGCTGCCCATTACCATTAGCGCGCGATGACATATCAATGTCCATGAGGTCGAGCTTCATCTTTTTCGGTCCAGCACTGTCTTCAATGGTGCTTGGATCTTCTCGTGATCGGAGTTCGGTGAGAATGTTTCGATGCCCTTCGGTTATCATTTCGCCCTCGATCGCTTTTCTAGCATCGCGATCTTCAGCAGCCTGGCGCCATCGGGTGACCCAAACAACCTTGTCTCGGTTCAGCACTAATTTGGAGACCAACTCGTGCTGCTCGTAATCGAAAAGCTCCATGAGGTCGTTCTCAATCTCACGGAGAGGCTTATTTTCACCATCTTCTCCAACGCCCGACAGAATTTGGAGCGCTTCCCGCGTCTTCTCCTGTTGCGTGTGTGGATCGTCATAAATCTGACCAATTTGACGCTGTAACCAGTACGCGTCGATTTCATGCGCTGGGATATATTTCTCTGCAGACTCCTTGCTTGATTCCGCGGTGCCCATTCCGTCAATGACCATCTCTTCATCCTTGTCCACTCCATCCTCCTCGGCTCCTGCTTCTGCAGCTGCATCTGTGGGTTCGCCATCTTCACCCCCACCTTCTGCCTCTTCGTCTGATGTGTCATCCTCGTCGCGGACTTCGTATGTTTGGCCAGCACCTTCTTCATCCTCATCCTCTTCATCAAAGACGACTGCCACACCTTGTCGCTCATCGAGGTCAGCTCCGTCGGCACCATCGCCGTCTTCCATGTTCTCGTCCTCGTCTTGCGCATCGTAGTCTGTGATCTTCTTTCCCAGGTTGACCAACTCGTTGAACTCTTTCGAGCCCAGTGTTGTCCCTAGAATCTCGTCCACTTCCTTCTTCTTATCGAAGTCCTTCAGCGACTCATCCTTGAGGAACTCCAAAACTGCATCTGCCGCGCTCCTCGTGACGTGATTCGGTACATCACCAAGATTCCTCCCTACGATGGTAGTTATCAGGTCATACGTCGCGCGTGTCGCAGGTGTCCGTGGGCGATATCTCAAGTCCTCAATCAGAAGGTCCTGATTTGATAGAATGCCCGCTCCGCGCAACTGGGCAGGTTCGCCACGCTTCCTCTTCTTCTGCTCCCGCTCCAGGACGTCTTCACCTTCTCTTATGCTCCCCCTCTCGATATCTGAAGGGCCTTTGGGCTTCTTCTTTTGCACAGGGGCCTCGTCGCGTGTGATGCGTGAACCCATGTCGCGTATGTTGATGCGCCCAGCCAGTGATTCCGGATCGCCAGTGTTCTCGTCGCCTCGGCGTGTGATAAATCTTCTGTCTGCCTGGAGAACCAGGTTTGACATGGCCGAGTACTTGAACTGGGCCAAGTTGTTTTCCTTCTTGCCGTCCGCCATCTTGAATGAATGCTGCGACGCACTTTTTCAGGATAGATAGAATCGAGATAGGCCCAGCAAAGCAGCCTTTGGTAGAGGAGGGTGTGATATCGCTGGGAACTAGCGAGGAAGAGGACGAAGCCGTGTTTATCGTAGCCTGGTGCTGTCTACGTGAAAGTTCGTAGCTTTGATGGCCTCTGAAAACTTAAGGAGCACGGTCCTTTCGGAGCGGATTATTATTTATCCGGGGAAGCAAGGGTTGCAATCAGCTTCTATAAGCGGTTTAGTATATCAAAATCCTTGACCCCTAGACCAGCTGAATTTTCACCCTCAGGGCGTATAGCTCAGTGGTAGAGCGCCCGCTTCGCATAACCGTGATCCAACTTGCGGGAGGTCTGGGGTTCGATCCCCCATTCGTCCATTTCTTTTTGCTTCGAATTTGCATTCCTTTTTGGCGTTCTGATATCAATTGGAGGCCGAGGGAGGGCGGGCGTGGAGGCGTTGTTGGTCTTGGCGCGCTAGTGGTTTTGTGATCGTCGAGGCAGGTGCGGCGAGACCTTTCGTACCTGCTTCAACTTTCACCGCACCATAAGCTGTACCATATCTTTCCTGGGACTTGTACGGTTAGGCGATACTGTGGGCTTCCATGTCATTTATTGAAATTGGTATCTGCATCGATTCAAAAGGGATCAGATATTCAGATGATATGATAGCCTTGCCTAACTGCCTCCTTTTCCATTCTCATAGCCCGCCACGACCGGATATTCCTCATTTCAATGCCGATGCGTTCACTCTTGGGACGCTGTAGAGGCAGAAACACTGAACGATCACAAACATGCCACGCAGCTATCGTTTTCAGCATTCCATTCCATGATGAGCGAATCCCTCTCCGTCTGAGATATCGATTCCAGATACACAGGATACGCGACCCGGCAGGCCCTGAAAATATGGTTTCAGGAAATATTAAGGAGAACAAACCTCCTCGGAAATAGGTACAAGCAGACACTCTATCTGAGTACCTCTATTCTTTCATGGAGAATCAACCCAATCCCTGACCGGTCTCTGACCGCGCCAAGAGCATTATAACTTAACTTTTTGTCCTAGATTGGTGTCCTGGCACTTCATCGCTTCCTCGGTTGCTCACTTCGCCTGGGTCTTGAGACAACACATAGTACACACCTCTTCCAGCGTCTCCTCCAGGAGTAGCATCGAAATCTGCTCTCGAACAAGCGAATAGCTTGCTGCAGCGAATTGGAACTCGATTCTCTCCAGCGGCTGCATCGAGCTCCAACTGGCCCTGCTGCGCTTCCACTGCATAGTGCGTCCTCCGTGACCTCGAAGGAATAAGAAAAATCCGAAAATCTACTTCGCGCTTGCAGGAAGGTTGGCCTCTTCAACTCATCGGATTAGCCCCCTTGGTGGACCACAAAGGAATAGTTGCGTAGCGGCGACACATCCCGCCGCTATGATGTACGCGCTCTTCTCTAAATACGAAGTATATTTGTTGAATCTGTTCATGTATAACAACCACACTCCAAGTCATCTCGAACTAAGCTTTCATTCATGCTCTCGTCTGTGTGCACGAAGAAAACTTATTCATACAACAAGACTCTTTCGTCCATGGACCTCAACCATATTACCAACCTCGTACACCTCAATCTCGAAGTGTGGGTGCGGAAACGGCCTTCATGTTGTGGCTTGGTATTTTGGCCATTCGATCCGTCAGTTATTATGCGCTTACAGGTGCTACGCAAACTTGCATCCCTGGCCCCTCGTCACGATCCCATATCGCGCCGAAGGGCGAAAGGCAGCCTGTGCATATTGCACCTCTGCTGGACGCGGGGCCATTCCTTGACTGGGAAGACGCCTTCAGACTCGGCTGTAGACTCGAATGGCAAGATCCCAAAACGAAGAAATGGATCTGGAAATATTTCCAGTTCACCAATGTCTTGCAGCTGTGCAACACAAAACATCCCGTATCCCTGAAAGCATGTGCGTGACGCAACCAGCATAATCAGATACTTGAGATGCCAACAAATCGACGAGCTGGATAGTCAAAGTGGATGGCGCCTACCTTGGTCATTTGCTCGCGCGGTCGATCTCAAGTCTGATGGCTTTAGCTAAACGATCCGTATCAGCCAGGAACTGGGACCATCGAGTGAGCGATGGAGAGTCTTGATGAAGAAGAGAACTAATGAAAGAGCTCCAATGCATAATCGAAGAACTTCTCCAGCAACTTGGCGCCATGGGCGCCAAGTACAAATTGAGAGCACCCAATGCCATATGACTTTCATAATTTGATTTAAAGACAGCGCGTTCATCGATTACCATTACCACTTTCAAATATCTTCGATCCGGAGGTCGAGAGCGTGTGAACCGTTACTGGTTGCTAGTTGCCTTCAGAAGGATGACGCTTAATGCCTCCTTCCATGCGAATACAATAGAGGCATTGGGCTTTAATAGATCGCCGAGATGTATAACTAGCCCGAAGCGAAATAAATGAGATGAATCTGTGAAGAGCATGTCGTATCAGGCGAGGCGTCAAGCGGTATGATAGATAGTTCAGTTGTGAATCACATCGTCATTCCTTAAAAGCTTGTACAATCTGGGGCATGCATTACATGTGTGGTATGTGTGGTATGCATTACATGTCAACTTATTAGTTCAATGTTGAGCCTTTCACGGAAATCCACGTTTGGCAGTTGCAAAAGATCACGCATTAGTCATCCCACAGTCGCACCTTCCTTCCCTATGCACTCTGTAAGATTACATGTTGACTATAAAATTTTGTTTAAAAAAAAGGGGGAGAGACAGAAGAAAGCAGTAGTAAAAGAAAACGCCAAAAAATTGGGGCAAACCGGGATTGAACCGGTGACCTTTAGATTCCATGTGATGGCTGAAGTTTTGCTTCAGTCTAACGCGCTCCCAGCTGCGCCATTGCCCCAATTTACAGATGGGAGAAAAACCTGATTGGATTATGTAGCTAGCGCTTACTGGTTGCCGGTGAATTTTCGTTGCGTGAACAGCCCCAGAGACTCCCGAGCGGGGGCGTCGAGGCTCAGAAACTGCGCCGATTGATATTTCTGAAATATCTGCACAAAATATATCAAAAGACTAATTAAAATAATCTAAAAATCACTATAGAATAGAGGGGTATCCTCTATTCTATCATATTTTCAGAGTGACTCGAGTAATGTTCATTTCCAGTTTCAAACGTGAGAGCTCTGTACGTGTATCGTAATTTGAAATAGTGTCTGACTAAGCGGTGGCGGTGCGTGCTTGTGGCGCGAGAAGAGGTAAGGAATTTAGCTGAGGTACAGGAGATGTTCCTTTGTCTATAAATTGGGCAACTGTAAATTGGGCAACTGTAAATTGGGCAATGGCGCAGCTGGGAGCGCGTTAGACTGAAGCAAAACTTCAGCCATCACATGGAATCTAAAGGCACCGGTTCAATCTACTAGATAAAGTGCAAGCTATCCTTGCGCTGTTCCAGGATGACCCATCCTTCCTCCTCCAGGTCGCCCTCTCCATCCTCTCTACCAGGCTCTGGATACTTCCGAACATGATCAATAGCCCATCTTGTGGCATCTCCTAGTACTGGTGGACACCGGCCCAGATCTTCGAGGACAGGTAACCCGCTCAGCTCAAAGAGGAACCGAAACCAATCCATCGTCTCGCCTTCATCCCATTCAATGTCATGGAATTTCCGTCTCTCCCTTTGGACAAGCTCAGCTCTTCGTTTCTCCCAGTCCTCCTGCTCAGAAAGTGGCGGTAGAGGCTTGGAATGCCGGCCTGCGAACAGACGCGCCAGGGCAATTGCTTGGTATTCGAACGAACGAAATGTGAGGACGCGTGGGAAGCCCATTATCCCCAGATTATGAGGGAATACACGGGAGAATGTGTGCTGGTAATTCTCCCTCAGATGGCCTTTCGCATAATCGTACAGTGGCCCACCATTAGCTTCGACGTTCCAGAACGGAAAAGACGGGCCATAGCCGGTGCAGTAGATGACGGCGTCGATGTTAGTTAGACGAGTATTATCAGCGAATAGAATCTCGCCTGTCTCGGCGTTGTACTCCTCAATCACTGGCTTCCATTCAATCCCTGGCGGAGGACCTGCGCCATCCCATCTAGACTTGGATCGCCGGGATTGATAGACAGGCAGCTTGGGCTTCCCCGATTCCACAAGCTGGGTTGTGATATCGTGCCCAGAAGCGGAGTTGCCAATTACAATCACCCGCTTGTTGGCAAATTGGCCAACAGTCCGGTAGGACTTGGAGTGCGAGACTATGCCGGGAAATTTATTAATGTAGTTATTCAAGCCTTTGACTGCAGGTATCTTTTACGTGTCGACACGTTAGCTCTGACAGAATACTCGGCCAACGGCAAAAGGATGGCCAATGGAAGAATTGATCGGGAAAGCGCTTACAATTGGCACCGAATAGTGACCATTAGCGATGATTACCGCATCAAACTCTTCGGCCCACCAAACGTCTACATCTCTTATCGAGTCGTGCCGTCTCAGAGTCAATCTCCATCTATCGTGGGGGTCGCCTTTTGCAGGGATACTGGTTACATCCTCAACTGTTGTGTTTAAGACAAGAAAGGAATCGGTTCGCCGCAATGAAAAGTAACTTTCTATGTATTGTTTGGGTATCCAATGCGGTACGAATGGACCATACGGGAAGGGCTCGTCTGAAAATGACATTGCAATAGCAGGAACATTAGTCCTGTGGGCACGTAAGCGATCTATCTTTCGGATTGGCCTATTACTCTTGCCTCAACGCACGTGAGTTCTGCGTAGATTGGAGTTCTATCATAGCGATACTGTGAAGACGGAGGAGTGGTTCGGGGCACCGTCTTCGGAATCTTCAGTGGGGTATCAACTTCGGGAGGGAGTTTTCCAGGATGGAGCTCAATCGTTCCAGGATCCGCATCGTATATCCTAATATTTTGTCGGCCAAATATTCAGAGAAGTTAGATGAACAAGTCGGTACCATGTTCCCCCAGGAACCTCTCGACGTTCAAACACACGTATGACCTCGAAAACATTCTCGGAGGCCAGTGCTGTTGCAGCTGCTGCACCTACAAAATATGAGAGCACTGTGAAAGATAACACAGAGCTATTCGAACTTACCAGCTGCTCCAGCGCCAATAACAGCGACCGACCTGATTGGCGAGCGGCCCATAGATCTTGTACAACCAGGCCCAACGAAATGGAAATCCAATTTGAAACAGCAAATTCAAACAGACACGAGGAGTCTAAGGAGTGCTTCGGCCTACCTTGGCGATATATTCTACGTAGCAGCCATAATGTGCGAAGTTGCAACACGTCACTTCTGAGACGGATGGCGTGCTGCTCAGAACGGGGAAAGGCAATTTGGGTGGAAGACGTTGGACCGGCATTGACCCGACCTTGGACGTCGATCAAGATGTCTTTTCCCCAAGGAAGTCACGTCCCGTTTAGGTATACCTACGACTTTTGAGTATCAAACGTGGCATTTACGTGAGAGTTCTTGACCCGGTAAAGAATCAGGGAGGTTCCTTTGTCACCCAGCACTTTGATCAGACTTAATTTTGGAGTTCGGAAATTGCCACAGAGCCCACTCTATTACATTTGTCTTCAACGCCAAGAAGCTTCCGCGTATTGATGAGTTTACATTTGAGGCTGTCAGGAAGTAACTTATCAAAGCTGCTTTTCTCCTCGCTGTCGCGGAAAAGAGACCTCGTTGTAGATCTCATACGCTCAGGAAGAACCAGTTCCTTCATACGACAGCTTCCCCGTTGAGCGTGTCGTTGGTTGGACAAAGCGATTATCCAGCATAATGACTTTGCATAGCCAATGTTTCGTTTCAATCCTTATCCTCTATATCTCTCTCGATCTCTATTTCAACGATGCAGCTTTTTCTCCTTCAGTATCAAGCCAAGGAGGAGCGCACAAACTGCGCAACAAAGTGAAAATACAAATGCCTGTCGAAAGGCGAAGACATATGCCGATATTACAAGCCGGTGGAGTTGACCCGTGAGGCCTTGGACATACTCTATGTTTGAAGCCGCCTTCTCGGCAACCTGACGACAGCGGTTAACTCTCCGTCACACCATTTTTGAATCCGAGGGGCTTGGAGCTTACCTTTTGTCCATCGGGCCAGTTGGAGAGCAGATCCGCTAACCTGGTCTTGAGAGAGTTTCCGAAGATGGCGCTTGCTACACTCACACCGCCCACTGCTCCGATGTTTGTACTGAGATAGAGCCCAGAGCTTGCAATTGCAATTTCCGACTCGTCCACCGTTGCGGCCAAATCTACGAAAACGGCCGAATTGGCAATTCCTGTTGCAAACCCTCCGAAGAAGACAAAGAACGCCTGCCAAACAGGCGTGTTGCCGTGCCAAGTGATGAGAAGGAGCGTAAAACATAGAATGGCAGAAAAGCCAGAGATGATGATCGGAAGTTTGTATCGACCGGTGCTGGGATTCTTTATTAGAAAGTTCGGTCGTTGGCAGCCTACAGGAACACATACCGTTTAATATAAGATCCAGTAACAAGACCGCCGACAGTGTTGCCCATGACTGATGGCACCATATAGGCGCCCGCCACCGCCTCACTCGCATTATTCGTGAGTTGAAAATACAATGCAATGTATAGCATGAGCTAAAACTGAGTTAGCGAATATCGTGTTCGGAGACGCGAGGGAACTGACCGCGATCTGTGAACAAACTTGCACTGTCAGTAGGACATAGTCCAAAACCAAATGTTTGTGGGAAAGAAGGTGTAGAGGAAATATCGGTTCCTTTGCCCAATATTTCTCCGTAACGTAGAACATGATCCCACTCAAGACTGTCGCCCCAGCGAGGATACCAATCGTCGGTGACGCCCAGCTGACCTTATCACCACCCATGTCAAGAATCATTGCGGCGGCGAGAATGGTAGTGCTCATGAATATTGCCCCAACGAAATCAATTCTTTTCAGTTTGGCTCCGATGCTCTGATCTTCATCGGCCTTGGTAGTGCTCTTCATTTTAGGTTGAATGTTGAGCCTCCAAGCAACTAAAACCATAGCAATTCCGGTCAAGGGCGCTTGTATGAGAAAAGCCCACCTCCAACCGATTGTTTGAGCCAATGCGCCTCCAATGGGTCCTCCTGAAGATCGACCGACAGTTGAGACGATATTAACATAGCTTCGGTAAGCAGCAACTTCTCGTAGGGGGACAAGATCTGTAACTATTAGAATCTTTACTTTGAGCGAGAGGTATTACTAGCTTGCCAGTGATGAGTACCGATACAAGTGCAACCATGCCGGCACCTCCAGATCCTTGAATGACTCGGCCGACGACGATTTCAGGCATCGATCTCCCGATTCCACTATGAAAAGAGTCAGATACTTGAGTATTGGATGAAAAGAGGGTCTGTGGATACCATATCAGACCGCCCAAAGCAAAGAGGAAATATGCGACTTGGAGCATCGTCTTGCGGCCAAAGATGTCGCTCAGCTTCCCGTACTTCGACATATTAGCGGATTCATGGCGCGAGGAGTTGAACATACCAGAGGCTGAGCAACACACGTAGCCAACCCAAAACTGGAGAAGAGCCAAGCTGAGCTTTGCAAATCATTGAATTCAGACGATATATCACCAATAGTAGCGAGCAACAATGTAAAATCCGTCTGCGATATGAAAACGCCTTGGCGAATTAATCTCACAGCCTGGAGAGGAGAGGCATTGAGCTACCTCTTACCTATGAGCAATACCGAAAGGATACCAATCACAACGCGAACGCTATGCTGCGGAACATCGACAGGTGCCTCGGGGGTACTCGCAGGAATAGTGTGATATCCATGTTGTGTATTTCCAACTAGAGAGGAGCTTCGTCTAACGCGTTTCTGGGGTTCTGCATGTCCAAGCAGAGGTGTATCTTCGACAGCAGTGTCTTGATTCACTATAGCAACTG